TGTAATAGAATTTTTAAATACACCATTTCCTTGTTTCTGCCATTCCCTCGAACTACTCTCCTTCCCCTCCTCGTCCCTGATCAAACTGCTCTGCAATTTGCCCACTCCCTTAATCCTTTGTAACTTGGCACTTTGCCTTCCCACAACTTTACTTTCCCCACGACTCTGTAACAGTGACCTCATAACCAAGAAGTACAAGGATCCCTTCACCCTCTGAATATTCTTCAGCACTTAATATGTCAATCACCCCTTTTGAAGCTGTATTCTCTCACTACTATGACACTGACCTTTCAAGCTCCAGGATTGCTGTTTTGAGTTTTCATGCTGCCTGCAACTGCTAGGGAAGGCAAAGCAGTACAGAAGGAATGAGCTTCAAAGCCAAACTGGGCTCTGCCCTCACTTGGAGACAACACCTCATGCTCAACACAACATGCTCAACATACGATATTTGGAGTGTATTGGTTAAGAGTGCTGCTGGAAGCCACCCAGCTCTAACATTTACTACCTACGTGACACTGAGCAGGTTCCTTAACCTCTCCATACCTCAGTTCCTCGTCTATAAAACTGAGAGAATAGTATCATCATCACAGGGTTGTTGTGAGGAAGAAATGCATTACTATGTGTAAAGCACTTAGTAAGAGGCTCACAGCAGGGGCTAGATACATGTTAGCTCTAGTTCAAGATTCCCAGGGGGTCAATTCCAGTTCTGCCCCTTGTATAAAATGGGGAATTTGGCTGGCCTTTGTCTCCTGTTCCTGCAAGGTAGCCTCTAAACCCTTGGAATTTCCTAAATGATAGTGTTATTTTTGTTATTCATGGTGGGCCCTAACAGTTTAGCTAACAGGTGAGTCATGGTAGGCCCTTAGACAGTTTATGCTAATGAGATGACTCAGCATGGGGGCAAACCATTCCAGACAGACAAAACACAATATTAGAGGGCTGAAGCTTTGACTCCTGTGACATAAACCTGGCCTCTGGGGAGGGGAGGAGTCAATGATCTATCTAGTCAATCATGCCTACATAAAGAAACACTAATAAAGACTCTAGATACATGAGTGCACTTCACTGGTTGGCAATATTCTGCCTGTTGTCACAGATTGATGTATCAGGGGGTTAACAGGGTCCTGACTCCACAGGGAGAAGACAAGGAAGCTTTGTGTTAGGGGGACCCTCCCAGATCTCACCCTATGCATCTCCCCCTTTTGCTGGTTTGAAGTGTATCCTTTTGCTATAATAAAACTGTAATTTTAAGTATGGTGCTGTCCTGAATTCTATGAACCATTCTAGTGAAGTATGGAGCTTGAGGGGATCATGGGAACCCCTGAATTTGCAGCCAGTAGGTCAGAAGTAAGGGTGGTCCTGGGAACATCCAAACCTGTGGCTGGTGTCTGAAGTAAGGGCAGTCTTGTGGAAGACTGTGCCCTTAACCTGTGAAGTTTGGCCTAACTCCAGCTAATTGGTTTTGGCAGTCACTGCAGTCACTAAAGTGTCATGTGATTCCTATCCTATCCCCCATCCCAACATTTCCTTAGTACCTCTTCTCAGGAGAATCAGTGATACGGTTCAGAGAGCTGAGCCAGGATCTGTGGACTTCAAGCCCCACCTATGACAAACAGGACTTCTAGGCCCTCAGCTAGTCAGGTCTAGTGGACCTTGCTCTCTGACTAGCCTCTCAGTGGGGATGAAAGGTGCCTTGGACCCAATGTCTCTTCCCTTCTCCCTCTGCAGGCAGGCTCAGGCACATATATGCACACATGTGCACAGAAACCCATGTGTACACTCTGCTGCCTAGCTTGGGCCAAGGAGGGGAGCAGGTAGAGGCAGGGCCAAAAAGATACAGTAGAAGCAGGGACTGCAGACTTAAGAAAGCAGCTGGGACCAGATGGGTAATACTACTGACCAAAATCCTGGAGCAAAGAGTCAACAAATTGGGGGGTAGGCATCAAGCAGAAACCAGCTCAGTCCAAGAGGCTTGGCTCCAAGAAGTGGGGAGGGGTGACCAGTGGTGTGGTCTCCAGCCAGCCCCTTTACCTGAGGCCTTCCAGACCTCAGGCTAAAGCCATTATTATAACTCTTTTTCCTGCTCCCTAAACAGACAAACAATAGATAAGCATTACCAAAGACTGTCTTCTCAACTCTATGCAAATGACTCCTAATTAAACCTAGTCCTGACTTCTGAGCCCTGAAGTCCAGGTTTTAGACAAACTGCCTGCTGGATATCTATTGGATGGCCTGCCAATATCTCAAACTAAACATGTCCAAAAGTGAATTAATCAACTTTTATGGTCCTCATCCTCCTCTTACGTATTTCTGTTCAGGGCATCAGTATCTTGCTTTTCAAAATGTACTGGGAGCAGCAGCGGCAGCAGAATCACCTGGGAGCTTGTCAGAAATGCAGACTCGCAGGTGTCCTCTCAGACCTACCAAATCAGAATCTGCCATTTAACAAGATCCCCTAGATGACTGCTATGCCCATTACAGTTCGAAAAACTCTGATCCAAGACACAGTCTCCCTAGCACTCCAAACCCTCAAGGAGCCTGCCTGTGTCCAGTCTTCACGGCTCCCATCACTGCTATAGTCCAGGTAGCAATCACTTGTTCCTAGAACTACTGGTTTTGCTAGTCTAGCTTCCAAACATTCCTCATGGTAACTCTCCCTCAATTATGTTGTCAAATTCATGATTTTAAACCCTTCCCTCCTCAAAAATTTCCATTGGCTCCTCATTGCCTATTAAAGCTTAGTAGTCAACAAGAAGAAATATTGTATGATCATTATTATTATTGTATGATCATTATGTGCCAGGCACTCTACCAAGTGTTTCACATGTCTTAACTCATTTAATCCACTAACAACCTTATGAGCTAATTATTACTGTATCTTCATTCTACAGACGGGGAAACGGAGGCATGGAGAGGTTAGATGACAGAGCTGGGAATCAAACCTAGGCAATTTGACCCCAGTGCACAAATTCCTAACCACTGTTTCATACTGCTCCCTAATTCAGTGGCCTTATTTTTTTTAAGGCTTACCTCCTAAGACTTCCCTGTAATTTAGCCAAAGTGATCTACCTGTTGTTCTATAAATACATTAACATTTCCCAACTTCTGAGAGGTTGTGCAGTCTTAATGGAAATAATCCGGGCTTCAAAAGCAGACCTAGTTTCAAATTTTAGGCCTGGCCACTAACTGGTTCTAAGACCCTAGGGAAATGATCAAACCTCTCTGAGTCTCCTCTCCTCATCTACAAGTAAAACACAATTTAAAAACCACCTAACTGAAATGGTTGCTGTGAAGTTTAGAAAATATGCAGAGGATGTCTAGTACAATCTTGGCACATAGCAAGTGCTCAATCATTGATAGCTCTTATGCTCACCTGAAATTTCAAATCTTACCCACCCTTTGACGCCCTCTCAAATATAACTTCTACTGTGTAGCTTGCTTTGTCACCCCAAATGGACATGATAGCATCTTCCTTTAATTTTTGTTAATATTTTACGTGTAACTCTCTCTGATTTACTACCTTATTTTAACATTGTACTTGTGTCGTATTAGACTGTAAGCACCATAAGGGCAAGCCCTAAAACATTTAGGGCAATGCCCTAAAACAGCTAGCATAATGCATTGCACATTGTGGGAGTTCAATAAACATTACAGAGTAGAAGTGGATTGGACATTGAGTAATGAATGACCAGAACCACTAAAATTAATTGGGGAAAACTTCATTTAAAAAAAGAGGTGGAACAGGAACTAAAAACAGCTAAGCATCTGTAACTATGTCACACGAGGCACTGTGTGTATAATAATAGCTCATTAGTACTCTCATTAATTCTGTGATGAGTTACTATCCCATTTTCCAAATGAGGACACTGGGGTTGAGAGTGACTTCCTCAAGGTCACAATTGTTCCATGAGAACTTGAACCCACTCACTCTCTTTCACTGCTATATCCCCAGTGCCTAAAGGAGTGCCGGGAACACAGTAGATATAACACACAATAAATATTTGTTGAATAAATGAAGAAATGAAAAAATGGTGCTAGTAAGCAGAACCAGGACTAGAAGCAATTTCACCTGACTCCCAGTTCAGTCCTCTGCTGTGAATTTACCAATTTAAAACAGAGGAAAGGGATGTACCATTTATTAAACTGCTATAAAACTGAACACCGTTTGGGAAGAGGGATCCTAGGGCAGAATGCTGAGTAATTACACTCCTCAGTTCATGACACTGTGTTTGACACTTTACATAAGTTATATCATTTCATCTTCCTAAAAACTCTTTGAGGCAGGTATTTTTATATCCATTTTACGGATGAAGAAACACTCTCCGTGAAATGATTTGGCCCAAACTCTCATAAGAGGCAGAGCGGGTGATTCCAGCCCAGGTAAGTTTAACTCCAAAACTTGTGTTCTTAAATACTTGTCCAGGCTTTGGGCTTGTACTTGCAATGGAAATCGTACCCCCTGTAGCAACAGGAGCAAGACAGCATCATGAACAGCAGGGCATCATGAAGAGCATTGCAAGGAACTGCAACAGGGAGGGCAGGGATTAAATCAAGACTACTGAGGTCACTGAACAAATCAATAATCAAGTTATAACGTCCTTTGGGAAGCAATCTCATTAATCCAAGAATGCTGCTACTCCAACAAGAACTAGTGACAGAACTTGATAACATGAAGGACAGCAGGGGCAAAGATACTTAAGAAATCACCTAAAGCTCAGCATTTAACACAATGTACGGGAGGAGGACAAGCCCTGAGAGTATGGGACAGGAAAGTGAATAGGAGTTTCACAAGAAGGCGTGGAAGGAACGAGGAGGACAGGGGGAAAGCGGTTAGCCCAAAGAGCAGGTGCAGTGTTGAGACTGGTTCTGGCATCGGGTATAGGAAGGGCCTACCGGGAGGAAGGAGTTCCGGCCTTCTCCGGCCAGAAGCCCGTCACCCGACTTCCTTAAGGGCACTCTGCCTCACCCTCAGTCCCTTTTGCCGCAGAACCCAAGCTCACCAGGGGCCTGGGCGATGTTGTCCCCGGGTCTCCTGAAGACTCGGCCGCTTTCGCCATCTTGGCCCTCCTTCTCCCCGGTCGCTCCCACAGGCCTTTGCGGAACCTGAGACGTGGAGGCCGCGGCTGCTCAGCGCGCGTCATCGCGCGGCGGTCGCGTCACCGAAAGGCGCCTGGTAACGGCTGTCGGTCCCGTCACACGTTGCTGTCCCTGTCCTCCGGGTGTCCGGGAGAGGTCCGAGTCGCCGCGCCTCGCTTCGCTTCTTAGGGACCGCAGGTCCCTTCAGACATGCTCCCCCTTTTCATACTCAACCCCGATCCTAAGATCGGTCCACGGCTGCCTTTTTTTTTTTTTTAATCCATCGCACGCGCGCACCCGTTTCTCGCCCTCAGGGCGGGTCCGCAGAGCTAGCACTTCGCGGAAAAAGCCTGCGCCTCCCCGGACCGCCGAAGAAATTCGCGTTTCCGTGCTTCTGAATAAAGAGATCAAGGCCGCCTGACCACCTGCTTCCTCCGCCGTCGCTCCTGCCTTGCGCTCCCCTCCGCCCCGCTACCAGCCGCTTTCCACTTCCCAGCTTTTATAAACTATACAAGATTACTTTTCTTATTCCCTCACCCCCTTTGAGGAGGGTCGAAGCTAGCTTCTCTATATACGTTGGCCAAAATTTTAATCTCACTACAACTTCTAAAATTGCTAAGTGATTTGGAGCAAGTACTAAAGATGTTTAAGGTCTAAAAGAGGGTGATTATTGTAAGAATAACAACAACAACAACAACAAAAACAAACCTGCATGTCCCAACCTCTTTTCCCCACCTAATTCCGGGTCTTTCTCACTCCATTTTACCTCGGGCCCAGGTTAAAATGCGATCAGGTAATACAGTCATTTTTGATGCAAGGAGGATTCAGGATACCTGAGTGTCCTTTGGTGGTATGAATATCAGGTTTCCGCTTTTAAGAAACAGGGTAGGGATGGGTGTGTAATAAAGTGCTTTCTATTTTTGGATAGGCAATCCAGAAAGAAATCAAGTCTTAAATTTAAGAAGAAAGAATGTGGATGGGCGCCTGGGTGGCTCAGTTGGTTACGGGACTGCCTTCGGCTCAGGTCATGATCCTGGAGTCCCGGGATCGAGTCCCACATCAGGTTCCCTGCTCAGCGGGGAGTCGGCTTCTCCCTCTGACCCTCCCCCCTCTCATGCTCTCTCTCTCTCATTCTCTCTCTCAAAATAAATAAATAAATAAAATCTTTAAAAAAAAAAGAATGTGGAATATGGTGGGATGAAATTCTCAAATAAATGTTGGGGTGGGGGGTGTGTGGGGTTTTTTTTTGTTTAAATATTCTCATAATTCTTCAGCTCAAGCACATTTTCAATACTTGCTCAAGTACTGATGGGAGTGATAGATTTGAAACTTTTTTTTAAAAGATTTTACTTATTTGAGGTAGAGCGAGAGAGCAGGAGCAAGGGAGCAGAGGGAGAGGGAGAAGCAGACTCCCCGCTGAGCAGGGAGCCCCACGTGGGGCTGATCCCAGGACAGCGGCATCATGACCTGAGCGGAAGGCAGACATTTAATGACTGAGCCAGCGAGGAGTCCCTTAAACATTTTTTTTTTTACAAGAGAATATTAGGTACAATTCCCCAGCCCCAGCTTTGCCACCCACTCTACCCCTCCCGCTTCCACCCCAGTCCAGATTTCTGGCACTTGTTATCAGGTTACCAAGTCCCTTCCCGTTTTTCTGAGGCTGTTGATAATCTCTTCTATTTCCTTGCCAACCTCCAAAATTAAGTTATCTCTCCCTAACCCCAAGCTCCAACTTCTGCCACCTAACCTCATCTCTTGGCCTCTTTGCTACTGGTTTCAAGATGGCTCTGATGCTGGGTTAAGAAGAGGACAGGCCATAAAACAATTGTTCAGGCAGTCAGTGTTCAGGTTCCCTAGGCATTAATTAGTTCCGGCTAAAATGTCAGTTTCCCTCATTTAACTAATAGGGTACGGGTTGAATATGAGGTAATATGCTGTGAAGAAAAAAACTCAGAAAGAAAGGTTGTAGAGGAGGCAGGTGGCATAGGGACATGCTCCTAAAATAGGAATTATTTTATGTTTTTGTTTTTTTTTTAAGATTTTATTTATTCATTTGAGAGAGAGAGCACAGGCAGGGGGAGCGGCACACAGAAGGAGAAGCAGGCTTCCCTCCAAGCAGGGAGCCCAATACGGGACTCAATCCCAGGACCCTGGGATCATGACCTGAGCTGAAGGCAGTTGCTTAAGGACTGAGCCACCCAGGCGCCCCAGAATTATTTTATGTTTTAGTTGCAAATATATCTTACAAAATTGCCAAACTCAGTATTCTTTAACACGCTTTCGGTCATTACCCTCTGTTAGACTATGAACATTTACAGTGCAGCAGGACTCAACATGACTTGCCCAAAGTTGCCCAGAAACTTTGTAAGTGGTGGAAGTGAGATTAATATTTAGGCCAATAGGTATGGAGAACTTTTTTAGTTGTTCTAAATTACAGGACAATACAAAGCGCAACTCTAAGAAAACAACTAGAAAATATTGAGGAAACAGGCAGTTTCCTAGAAAAATGGTCAAAATTAATTCAAAAAGGAAGTAGGGAATTTCGTTGGGATAAAATTTTGGAAATGAAAAATCAAATATATAAAAAGAAAAGTACAGAACAGTTTGTATGGTATGCTACCATCTGGGTAAAAAGTAAGGGGGAGGGAATATATATTCATATACTTGAATTTTCACTGACTATGTCCCAATGGCTACACAAGAGATTGGTAACAGTGGTTGCCTCAGGAGACAAACGGAGGGACTGGCAGTAAGAGGTGGGAGGGACTACTTAATGACTTTCAAGGGAGGATTTTTGTTGTATAAACTTTCATGCAGTTTGAAATTTTTACCATAGACATGTATTACTTTAACATAAAGTTGTCAAAATCTATCCTTCCCTCCCACCCACAAAGTGCTGGATGGTTTCACAGGCTATTCATTCAAGCCTTCAAGGAGCAGATCATTTCTACATTACATAATTTTTTCCAGAGAGAGGGAAAAAGAAAATTTACAGATTTATTCTGGGGACCCAGTATAAAAATGGTATCAATCCTGACAAAGAGTACTAAAAGAGAAAACTGTAGCAGTCTCACTATCAATATTAGGTACAAACATCTCACACTAGCAAATCAAAACTGGCAAAATAATACAATAATAATATCCCATGACCAAGTAGAGTTTTTCTCAGAAATGTAAAGTTCATTCAGAAACAGGAAATGCAATAGTGATAACTGACCATTTTAACATGTCAAAGAAAAAAACCATCATCTTGATGCTGAAAATTCAACTTCATTCCTGAAAATAAATACATTATTAATAATAACTACATAATAACTACATTAGGATACTTAATTTCACAAAGAAATCTGTCTCAAACCAAAAGCATCTTGCTATACCTGGCATTCTATTTAAGCCAAGACCAAGAGAAGAATGCTTATTATCACCACTATCATTTGACACTGTTCTGCAAGTGCCAGGCAGTGCAATTAGACTCTTCCTCCACTGGGGGCCAGGGGTAGCCTTGCTCATTCTCTTTGAGGCCATTGGTCCCCCTGGATATTCTCACCCATAAACCCCACCTTAACCCTCTCTCTCTAATACACAAGCAAACTTCTAGCCCTAGAAACTCCAAGTCTGTTTCGCACTTCCAGTATTTTCTTTTCTTGGCACTTGCCTCTCCCAAAGTATAGCACTTCTCTATGTAAACACTCCACCCTTCCTGGTGTAAACATAGTTTCTTCCCTCTCCTATTGTAAAGAATTACTGATAACTCCCCTCCCTAACCTATCTGCCTCCACCTCTTTCCCAGTTGCTGCCTTGGCCCAGCCCTTCCCTTAGCCCATTCTCCTCCAGTCCTTTTCCACTTTCTGAGGCTTAAAAAAATAAAAAGATTTTATTTATTTACTTGAGTGAGTGAGAGAGCAGCGAGAGAAAGAGCATAAGCAGGGGAGAGGGGCAGAGAGAGAGGGAGAAGCAGACTCCCCGCTGAGCAGGGAGCCCAATGCTGGGCTCAATCCCAGGACCCCAGGACCCCAGGACCTCAGGACCATGACCTGAGCTGAAGGCAGATGATTAACTGACTGAGCAACCCAGGTGCCCCAACCGAGGCTTTTTATACCTTTTATTTTCACACCTATCTCCAAACTAGGTTATTTCTCTGACTCCTCTACCATGTACCTCATCCCTGGGCTTTCTCAGCGCTTCCGACTCAGGACTGCCTTGCCCCTGGGCTAGGAGGAGGTCAGGCTATAAAGTAATTGTAGATTCAGTCAGTATTAAGGTTACCTGGGCGCCCTTTCAGGCTACACATACCCATTCCCTCTTTAACAAACAAGGTAGGAGATTGGTATGAGATGAAGTAGAGTGCTATGTATTTTTGGATAGGCACTCCACAAAATTTCAGAGTCGCTGTAAAGGTGAAAAGATGTAAAGGACATAAACAACTCACAGAATAGGAATTGCCATCGCATTTTTTCCTGTTACAGACATATCCAACAACATTTATGATTGTGTATACCTACATTAATTATTCTTTTTAGAAACATGGATATTTTCTGGGGCGGCTGAGAGACTCAGTCGTCAAGCGTCTGCCTTCGGCTCAGGTCATGATCCCAGGGTCCTGGGATTGAGCCCCGCATTGGGCTCCCTGCTCCGTGGGAAGGCTGCTTCTCCTTCTCCCACTGCCCCTGCTTGTGTTCCCTCTCTCGCTGTCTCTCTCTCTCTCTGTCAAATAAATAAATAAAATCTTTTTTTAAAAAATGGATATTTTCAATAGAGCAGTTGGCATTTGATTTTTTTAATCCATAAAATTATATTCACAATCTTAACATGTGACAAATTATAATTTTGTAGCAAAAGAAATAATTTTATAATTTATTTTTTAATATTTGTACATTTGTCCATATTATTCTATTTGATTCATACTTTCCCCAAAATTTTGCTATGAAAATATCCAAATATATCCAAATATCCAAATATATAGAAAAGTTGAAAGACTAGTACAGTGAGCCTCCACCTAGATTTCTACAATTCACATTTTGCTATTTCTGCCATCATACATGGATACATCTCTATCCATCTGTCCATCCAACAAATCTCT